AGTCACAAGTAGTTTGACTGGATGACCTTGCAGACTAGTCGTAGTTGCTACCTCGAGGAAGTCTCCAGATACGAGACAGCAGTCCTAATCGCACATGTAGCCGATAATTTGTATGAGATCGCCCAGTATCTGCCTATAGCTCCACGAGATCGAGATTAGCTAATCGCGTTTCGTAGGGTAGCGAGACCTGTACACTTCCAAGTTTGGTTGCACGCCGTTAGACTTTTTCGAGTGTGCTGAGGTCTTTTGCGGTCCAGGATCTCCATGCTTCGATATCAAACTCCAGGCGCGGCTGTAGAAAAGTTCTAAAGACCTTAGCGAAACATTCCTTATCGAAGGAGGGCATCGACAGTTTGGCGAGATACAGAACGGGCATCGCGGGCTTGACTACCTTCGAGCAGTGCACCGAAGGTTTAAGTGAAGTCGTGATCCACACAATCAAGTCCTTCTGCGCACCCACTTTTTGTAATTGTACGCGGTAAGATGGTAGAATATGCGATTCGGTGATTTGGTTCCGCTGACTCGTAGTAAGCTACACTTGTTTACGTTAAACGGCAAAAGCCAGTCATTGGGCCGTTTCTTGAGCTCGTTTCGATTTGCTTGCAATCGCTCTTCTACAGTAGATGTGTCGTCTCATGAAATGTTGACCGAAGTTGTGAAATACGTTTTCGACTCGAAAAGATTACTTAGGCAGGGTTGTAATATTAACAACCGTTCAGCATAATCCCATAACAATTCAGTTACTTCAGAATGTCAACTTTTGAATCAACTTCTTTCCGGCCGCCTGCAAAGACTGAACTCCGTAAAAAATGACTTTCTAGGTAGTATGATTTTCTCATTGATTTTCGGTGGCCTTATAGATTCAAATATATTTTATGGAAAACATGCATAAAAATGTTCATTTTTGTACTCGTTTGGAAAAAAATTACGTCTTCAAATTTTATACTTGAAGGAATAGTATACTTCGGTTTTAAAAATCTTTTCTAATTCCCAAGTAATTTTGATTCCGACCTGCCGTTACACTTGCATTCAGCGTTTCCAAACTACAAGCGGTGTATTTTCTGTGTAGGGGAAATCTTACATTTTGATGCGGTATTAGTAGGAGACCATATTGGGTTCATAAAATTTAGCAGTGGTTTTGAGCCATATTGTCAACTTTACAAGCAGCATTGGTAACTGTAGAAACACAATGTTTTATTAACGAACACTTCACAGTTTTAAAAAATCTCATACTTAGAAACTTTTTTAAAGCCGAATTATACTCTTCCTTCAAGTATAAAATTTGAAAAAGACGTACTTTTTTCCAAACGAGTGCATGCATGTTTTCTATAAAGTATATTTAAATTTACAAGGGCATCGAAAATCAGTGAGGAAAACTTACAGTACTTAAGTGGTTATTTTTTGAAGAGTGTTGTTCTTGCAGGCGGCCAGAAGGTAGTTCATTCAAAAGCCGGAATCCTGTAGTAACTGATTTGTTATAGTATTATGCTGCACGTTGATCAGTATTACAACCCCATTCAAGTAATCTGTTTCCAGTCGAAAACGCATTTCAGAATTTCAGCTGACATTTCGTAAGTTAGCACATCTACTGTGCCCTAGACTGCGCCTTTTTGTCTCTGTCGGCCATATCAGGAATGGTAAATCACGTGAACAGCAACCTCGCAAGCAGTTTTATTGCCACTGGACCAACTCTTTAACCCAATTCACGCCCAAGTCTCCATTAGAAGGCATGGACGAGGTGTTTTGTTGGTCTCCTCTGCGGGAAACAGGGCGACACAGGGGGCCACTGTTCTCTCACTGTGTTGCATTTCAGCGCGTTATAATTTCTGGCTCTTGGCTGCTCCAGATTAGTCGCCCACAAGTGTTTAACTCTGCTCTCAACCTGTTTTCTAGGGCACATCACCCCGTAGTCGTGAATCAGGACGGTCTGGTTCCCGTGACTCATGATCTACCCCACTTTCCGCACAAGGTTCGTGACAGTTTTTTGGCTGTTCAGTGTAATCATTAATTCCCCATCGTCGCATTAATTCTCTCAAAGCATGGTCGAGAACTTCATTATCTTGTAATTAAAAACCCCTTTTCTCTGCCAATGGCGCCTTTGCCACTACTGGACCAGGACTATCTTCATTTATTTCTATGCCCTTGCTAGGAAGTGTATCCTCTCCAGGAGTCCTTTAGCAACCTCCTAACTATCTCCGTCCGTCTTCTGAAACCGCACGGACGTCTGGTGTTTTGGGTGCCAGTTGACAGAAACACCTATAGCGGACCAGAATCCCTTCCCTCCCATCCTCGCCTCAAGCTCATAACTGTGTGCGAACAGGTACGCCGAAAAAAGCCCTACCTAAATTCAACAAATTACCGCATTGTCTGCATCGCAAGATAGTTGCCACTTACAAATCCGGTCAGTGAACCTGTTGTTCTTTTGATTGCTCTTTCAGGCTCTCAACAACCGGGTATCGCGTTTCCTCATGGTGATGGAGAAGTTACCTAGCAGCGAGGCTGATTTCAATCTTACAAGCGCGCGTTCCAGCGAGGCAGGTGACAGCGTCTCCGCAGAGTCCTGGGGTAAAGGTGTGCCCTTCCACCTGGACAACTTCAGAGATGCTTATTTCAAACCGAAGAAGACCCAGAGCGAATGAATTTGGCCCTCATAATGGAGCACACACACTGACTCTCCTTTTTATACATATATTATCTACAAAAGCCGAAGCTCAGCACATCTTTTTTAAAAAAAAACTTGATATTGCGCACGGTGGCTCTAAGCAGATATCGGAAGCGTATTTAAGATCACGTCGGTCAAACAGCCGTTGAGAGTGTACCAACACTTTGTAGGAGACAGATAAGCGAACGACCGTCTTCAGCAAATCACCGCTATCAGACCTGTGAAATTGCGCGTGGTTAAATTACTTGGGGTAGACGAATTTGCCTGAGTAAGCTTTGCGTGAATTCTTTTGATACAGTTGCAAGTGGGGGCAGCAAGATAGTGTTCGTGAGTGCTGACGACAACTGGGGGGGGGGTGTGTGGGGGGAAGTAAACATGGCTGAAGGGATCAGCGACGTTAAGGGCTATGGGGTGGTGGGGGATTGACCCTCATCGGGTCAATTATCACGGGCAGGAACCCATGCGGGCACTGAGTCCATGTTAAGGTCCTTTGTAAGTAGGGGACCGCGTTCTATCCTTATGGCCGTTACCTCCGCTGTGGCTGGGCTTCGTCTGAGTGCTTTTCTGCTGCACCCTTGTACTCAGTAAATCGCTCAAATGGATATTTTGTCGGGCGCAGTGATTGTTACCAATACTCAGAATCGTACTGTTGTTGGGTCCGATTAAAACTACCTTAACGAGAAAGACTGGCGCAGCATGCACTCTCCCCACATCCGCCATGAACCGATGGCAAGACAAGTCGAGGAAGGTGGGCGAGTACACAACAATTGGACTTAAGTCCCACTTTGTACAGGTCGATCGGCACCGGGCAGTTGAGTCCCGGCCACCTGCATCTTTTTCCACCTACCAGTCGGATCGACGTGGCCGCTGCGCTCAGTACGCAGGTGAAGTCACAGTGCAATAGACCATCTCGAGTAGCTTGATGTTTGATTCATTGAAGTCGGCACCTTCAAAGGCCAAATTCCCAAATAATTTACCACGTCATTTACTCGGATGCCGCCTTGCAACTTTGTCTGGGGACCAAGTCACTATGTGGATAAACGTAGCAGTCTCACTTGGCAAAGTTGTGCATAAAGGCCTATCTACCTACGACACTTAACCCCTTGGTGATCGTTCGGCAATTTTCTACCTTGTATTGGAGCCAGCACCGTTTGCGCATCCCGCCCCACTGCGATTACCATTTTGTTAAATTAATCGCAACCCTGCTACTTTTGGCATCTGGCTGTGTGCTGCCAGTTGAAATTACATGCAGACAATTACCACTGGCAAAGAAGACGGACGGCCTCCCGGACGGCTCCGGTCGTTGGCGGTACTAAGATTGCTCGTTGTGGTCACCATCGGCGGGGACCCCAGAGCAGAACGGGACTCTCATACTGCCGGCAATTTAAGCCACGGTGGTGGGCATCACGCCCACGCGACAACGGCACTTAGTTCCACGAGATTAGCTTTCGGCAATACGGCCTGCTACCAAGATAGAACACGGGTGTTCCGTCTTGCCTTGAAGCTGCAGTTGGGAGCCTTTGCAGGTAGTCACAATCAATGGTCCAGTTTAGTCAGAAGTGGTCAACTGTGTCTCGATTTATGGATACAAAACGTACGTAGTGCGTTGGGGGTTATATCGACTAAACCTGAGGGCAGCACTTCGATTGCCTTCACTGGAGGTGCCCTGTTGCGTCTTTCCGAATTCGGATGAGGCATCTGTCCAATAAGGCATTTTTAATGAGAACCAAAGAGTGGTTGCTAATTATTGGGTTTCAGAAAGCTACAAGACGGAAAGATGGGAGCGTTCCAGCAACGCGGTATCTGAGACTGGAGCGGAGATTCGGGTATTACTCGTGAATGCTTTCGTCCCAAGGACAGGGTAATGCCAGATTTCAATAGTTGGCATTGACCGCAGTCAAAACAAACATTTGTTTAGTCAGTAACCAATTTATGAAAAATTCAGGCGGATTAATCCCATCCATTGACACGGGTCGCGGTATGTCCATACGCGTATCAAAGTTCTCTTCAAAACAACTGAACAAGGGGGAATTCAACGAGGTAGAAAAATTTATTCCAAAATGAGCCTATACAGATATGCCGAAGTAGATCACAGCAAAGTTGTACCGCTCGTTCAGCCGTTCACAAACTCATCGTTGCTGCCTGTCAGCGGGGTTCTCCGTGTAAATTCGGATAATACCTTGTCCAGTCGACCAAGGAATAAGTCAACTTCCTCTGGAGTTTGCCCGATAGCCGCTGCGGCATTTAGATAGGGCTCCTTTGATACGGCACTGTGAGAGTTAAATCCGGGCAGGCAAATTCCTCCAACACATACCGGGGTGCGTCCCTCTGCAGCCTCAACCTCCGCAGGTATTACTACACTGAAGTAAAAACGATCTACTTACTTTAAGTTAGTAATAGTTATTATCTGAAGATAAAGCTGCCGGGCTTTACGAGCTTACCGGACACCTGAACAGCCCTGGGTGAACAGACGTGCTCCCAGTTTTGTGAGGGTGTCGGAACGGCCATTTAAATTGAAGCCCCCTAAACTGACAGCTAGGGAAATTGGATTGTCCGGTGTGTGCATTAGGCGCAGACCATGCTTGCTAGCGACGGCATTGAGGCCATCAGCCAGTCGTCGATAGCAGGCCTCGCGCTTGTCAATCAACTCCTGCCAACCGCGCCACCCCAGACAGAGGAGCGTTGCAAAGACATCTATCGCCGGTGCTCCAGATGCTCGACCTAGAAAACAGTTAGTACAATAAGGTATACGGAGCTGTGAAATCAGAATCGTCAAAATCCAACACGCAAAAAGTTGCACGTTACCGACAGGACGCGGTTGCGCAAAGTGCGATGGTAATTCCAGATTTGTCAAGGATGAAGGATACCGAAAGTTATCGTCAACATTTTTTGTCTGGAAGGGATAGTTACAAGTAAAAATAACTACATTCAGTGATCGAGCTCACCAAATGTTAACCGAAATTCTGAAATGCGTTTTCGATTGGGAAGGATTGCTTAGGTGGGGTTGTAAGATGGATTATCGTGCAGCATAATCCTATGATATTTCGGACACTCCAGGATTCTGGCCTTTGAATGTGCTTCTTCTCAGACGCCTGAGAAAACCACGCTTGGCCAAAAATGACTACATAAGTAGTATGATATTCTTCCCTGGTATTCGATGCCTCCACAAGTCCAAGTGCATTTCATAGAAAACAAGCAAAAAATATGTTTTATTGTACTCATTTAGTAGCAAACCGCTCCGTCTTCAAAATTCATATTCAAACGAAGGGTACATTTGGGTTTTAAACAAGTTTTTCAATCATCGAATGCTCTTGAGCCTGATTTGTCGCCGCATGTGTGTAGGGTTTTACATCAACAAGCTCTGTACTTTCTGTGTATGGAAAATTACAATTCCTCTATACCATTCAGAAGATACTACTTTTGCACTGGATATGGACTATGCTGTATACTTCATGAGAAGCATTAATACATGGACAGGTGTGAAGCTATTTGAATGGACATGGGATTGTATTAAAAAACCTCACAATTAGAAACTTTTTTAAAACCCAAATATATCCATTTTTCAAATGCAAATTTTCAAAACGAGATGATTCGCTGCCAAATGAGTACAGGAGAGAGTATTTTTGTGCATGCTTTCTATGAAATATACTCGAATTTATAAGACACCGAAAATCATTAGCGAAAATCTTACTACTTAAGTAGTCATTTTTTGCCGACCGCGGTTTTCGCAGGCGGCCGAAAAGAAACGCATTCAAAAGCCAGATGCCTGGCACGTCTGAAATACTTTGAGTGTATGCTGCTTGATAATTCGCCGTGCAACTCCACTTAATTAATCCTCTCTAATCGAAAATGCACTTCAGATTTCCGGTCAACATCTAACAAGATTGGTCACTGACTGTACGAGTCCTAGAAATTTAAAGTCAATTTGTTCAGGAAACCACAAAGACGATGAGCTCCATTAGTGACTTTTACGACATGCAGACCATATGTTAAATGTTGCCATGTTCGTTGCAGCGTATCAACGGCAATGCCTTCGAAAGCAGATCTGATTCTGGCCTTCGAGGTATCACTGTCCGTTACACTACAGCTGAAAGCCCTCAAAAACCGCAGTCGGACGACCTAGGCAGGCATAATTTGTAGACACCTCGAATACTACCGAAAGTTGCTCTTTCGATCAAGGAGTAGGCAAGAGGTGACGATGATTGTAAAACGCCGACATACCCGGGTAAGATTCCGCCACCTGCCTCACTAGCTCTTCAGAAAATCCGGCAATTATCGCACCTCCAACCGGGACCATCAAGTTCTTATCAGTGCTCTGGATGTACAGAAAATCGGGTGGAGATGGCCGCCCACTCCCACGGGCAGTAATATCATTGGATTCAGCTGAATACTGGGATGGCTCTGTGGAGGAGGAGGAGGTGGAGTTGGAGAGGACTTTCCACGCGGACTCAATCATCCGCATACAACGTCTGGATTGAACACCATAGGCATTGTTCACAAGGTGTGGGATGCCGTAGCGGGCACAGAGGCGGCTCACAGCGGTTAGGCTGTTCAAAGAAAAGCAAAGAGTTAAGCCAAACTGAGAGCAGAGACCCCAGCGTCTACTGACCAACCTACCTGGCAGGTCAGTCCTAGGTCGGACGAGAAGCTGGCCACTAAACGCCCGGACGACCTTATTAATTGTGGCACAGAGCGGCAGACTTGCACAGTGTGTTCCGAACGGTAGACTAGGTGAGGATGACTAATGGTGAGACAGCAATCAGTGGCCAACCTGACCCAGAGCTCCGTCTACGAGTGTTACAACACGTCAGATACGCTGGCCTGGCTTTACGCGCCAATCGAGATGGCTGGCATCTAGATTGTGGCGGCCGAACTTTTGACAGCTTCCTCGAGTCACAGGTGAGAAGTGAGTCTAGCTAGGCCAAAATAGAATAAACACCTCACGCAGCTGGATATATGGTGCTACGATTAATTTGCAAAGAAATATTAAGCCTCTCTGGACACCGTTGGTCCGTTGCAGGCGATGGGGCCTAACACTGTCCCATAAGCCGAACGTAGTCGTGGCTTGCGCATTAACTTGCTTATGTCGGAGCACACTTGCGCAGAGTCCACCTCACTTGCGCAGAGTCCACCTCACACTTGCGCAGAGTCCACCTCACCTTGCGCAGAGTCCACCTCGCAGATGTCCGACCGGGTCTATACGCAACGAGTGTGCAACTACGGCGGAGTTGGGGTTGGAAAGGAGGTTTGGTGTGTGTCGAGTGTGCATGGGCATGAGTAGCTACAGTGTGCCGAGTAGGCGATGAAATTTAGGAAACGACGTGACAGTTTTCCAGATGGTCAGTAGGAGTACCCCAGACGTGGTGCATATTACGTACTAAGTTAAAGCGGTGCATAACGCGGCGCATGCCTCTTAGGGAGAAAACAGGACATTTTGGCTGAAAAAAGAGCGTTAAGCAAAGCGAACTAACTTGAAATAGGATTCTGTAGCCCGCGTAAATCAAATGAGTCGGGATATGAATAATCGTGTTATTTGTGAATTTGTATTTCTGTGTCCTAGTGCACAGTAAATCCACACCGGTAATTTCCGAGCATGAACGAATATCCTAGAAGTGACAGGAAAATGACGAACCATCTCTGTCAAGTCGGTTATGTTGGGTTTCTCACCAGTTAATACGCAATTTAGGAACGAAGAATGTGCCGATTTATTGATTTGAGCAACACTTAAATGCATGTGGGATCGTTTTATGGTGCAAAAAGAGGATAGGCTCACTTTTCTGAATCAAGGACAATTAAAGGCAGTAGGAGTGAACATTGGACATTGTTTCGTAAGGTGGCCCTTCGAGGAGTGCCCGTATAAAGTCGGCTACATGCAATGCCGTAAAAAAAGGTTGTGCCTCCTTTCAGGGATTTCAGTAAGGCTGGTAATTAGCATTTAAACAAAGTGCTTACCGGACAATACGGCTACTCTCCAGTACAGTCTTTAACGGTTCAGTTACGTCGGAGTGCTGAGAGAAAACTTCCTCATTGGTTGCAGATTTTCGCTTTTGTTGAACACTCCTCAAACTACAATAATGCTAGTTAACTCGATCAGATGATATGCCAGTCCTGGGCAGGATACCTCGCTATGGCAACAAGGCAGATCGTGCATTGTTCTCCACGGAAACTAGCAGCTTCTGAAGGCAAGTGCTGTGGTGATGGGCGAAATTTAATCATGGTGTGCGAGAGACCTTACAAAGCTAAGCTAAAACTTTCTTCCTGTTTCTAACCTGTTTCAATAACATGGCTAAACTCTAGGTGGACGTCGAGTAGGTCGGGGAGGTAAAACTGGAGATCCCTGGTTGGTGATCTAGTCGGTGGAGCCTTAGACGACGCACGGGTAGGTCAACTGGCATAGTTCGTTCGTTGCTGGAAGGTCTGTTGCCCGTATTTTGTCTAGCGGTGGGGTGTTTGTATTGTTATGCATACATAGGTGTTCAGCACGGTCAATCCGGGCTGTAAAGTTGTGTTGGCAATGGGGTTTTGCGGGCAGAAGCTAGACATTAGCGGTTTTGGTCTGGGGTACTGCAATCTTGCGTGAGAAAACTCAATCTAGCAGAGGGATGGAGCGAATACTGTCGATGCTCGTTGTGTTTCTAAATAGGACTGTCGAGGCCCCCCAGAAGACTGATGAATTCTAATATACATCACGGCTGGTGTAATGGAAAAATGACCCGAATAGGCCTAGGTCACCTGCCCTATGCATAATGCTTTTTAGGGGAAAGTGAACTACAGAATACGGGTACGGAGACACAGTGAATGTCCCTATTTAGTCCGTCGCTCGAGGCGACTGACCTGAGCGTGGCGCTATGCAGACCACAGCTTCGTGAGGCTACGGATGAGAGCTAAGTGCTGGGTAGTAGCGACGTACAAGCATCCATCACGTCCTTGATTGGGAGGACCGCATGTACATCAACGTGGAAGGGCGCACAAGGGACCTGACCACACAAATACCAAGTGAACCCGGGTTCATGGTAGCCCGAGGAACTGCGTGCCCATCGGCACGCTATAACTCACCAAAGCATACACCAACAAAACTGCCATCACCCATGAGGAGGAAGAGCAAAAATCAGTAAAAGCACTAAACGCCTAGGGTTATAACCCATAGTCGGCTGACTTTGATGTTCAATTTCTTCAGGCGATAGGGACATGAAAAAAGTTGTTAAACGAGTGGGCTATATCGACACACACACGCACACACAAAATTCTGACAGATGTTGTCCTCAGGCACCTCACAAACCACCAACAACACTGCTGCCAGCGCGTGGAGACTTGGGGCCTGGCATGCCGACTGCCTTATAAAATTTAACGAGGCCCACTGATCACACGGTGACATGGAGATCATGAACCGCCAATAGACAAGCCGGCTTTTCACCGCCGCCCGTGGTTTGGGTCTTTCGCCAAAGCGCTAGAGGAGACAACTTAGAACAATCTGAATGGGCTTCGGGGACACTCCTGCACTCAAACTTTAACCGTAAGGGCTGCAAAATCATATTCACATTCATGCGGAGGTGCTGATGATGATGCCGCTGCGACCCCAAGGTATCGCTCGGATGAGTAGGCAAGTTACTTTATGTATGGACACAGGGAGGATGCTGACTCCTGTTCGTCTTTAAAAGAACAAGTTCGGCTGGCAGACCTCTGACAACAACCGCGAAACAATCTAGTGAATGTTGAAGGGAAAAATGTTAGGAGTACCTCATTGATTACCATGAAACTACAGTAAATGTGTTATCCCGTGAAATGCTGACTGAAAATCTGAAACGCGTTTTCAATTTCGAAAGACTACTTAAGTAGGGTTGTCATGTTAACTACTGGGTCGCGCAACGCTGAGATATTCCAGTCGTGTCAGGATGCCGGCTTCCGAACAAGCTTCTTATTGGTCGTTTTCGTAAACTACATTCCGCGAAAAATGTCTACTTGAGTGGAATGAATTATTCCCATTGGTTTTTGATACCCTTCAAACATTTTATAGAAAATATGCACAAAACTATGTTCCCTTGTACTCATCTGGTAGAAAATCGCGTCTTTCCCAAATTTATACTTGAAGGAAGAGTATCTTTGTATTTTAATAACGTTTTTAATTATGACATTTTAAGACCGTGAGATGTCCAATCAAACAGCATCGCATCGGCGCATCGGGGAAACGTGGTCCACATTAATAACAAAATTTTATGAGCCCTATATGCAGAAATGTATGGCTTTTCTTACACGGACAGTATACAGCACGCGGATTGGAAACCCTATAGGCAAATGAAGCGAGAGATCGGGTCAAAAATTTTTCGGGAATCGGAAAAATTCTTTAAAACCGAACGATACTCTTCCTCTAAACATAAAATTCAGAGAAGGCGTGACTTGATACCAAATGAGTAAAAGAAAAAATATTTTTGTGCACGTTTCCTAGAAAGTATATTTGAATTTGTAAGGGTATCGAAAATGCATGGGAAAAATTCATGCCACTTAAGCAGTCGTTTTTAACAGTTTGGTTTTAGTGGGCGGCCGGAAAGAAGCTTGTACAAAAGCCGGCATCCTGACGTGTCTAAAATATTTTAGGATTATGTTGCACGATAAGTAATACGGCAATGCTACTTAAGGAATCCTTTCGAATTGAATACACGTTTCAGAATTTCGATTAACATTTCATGGGATAGCACATCTACCGTATATATGCGAAAGAATACCGACGAAGACAAGTGAGACTCGGGTGGCCATTTCCGGATTAGTAGTCGTCGCCAGCCAGCTAGTCATACCCAACCCCAGGTTTTGATAATTTGGTACTCGAGCCACGAGGCGTAACAGGACGTGAATATTCTCGAACCTAATCGGCGAGTGCTCATCACAAGGCGAATTAATGGTATAAAACACGTGAGGCACAGGCCAATGAATGGTAGAGGAAGACGAAAAGGCCACCGCGGAGACATTTTTTTTTATTCAACCGACTTTTCGCGCGCTAACCGTCAAGGTCCACTGTATATTTAACTCGCCTTCGCCAATAACGGCCTTCAGCTGTGCCACCGATTTTTTCTGCGTAGCGGCTGACAGATCGTGATGCCCATCAATCAAACCATTGTTCGAGTGCCAAGCTTCCTGCAGCAGGCGTAAAACCGGTCGCCCGATTTGCCACACGATTCTCACGCGGGTCGGAAATGAAGTTGTGCCCTGACAAGGACCTGTTCGTGCAGGCCCGTGTGGATCTCATTACCGATCTAACCAAAACGATTAACTAGGCCACAGTTGCGTTCTACCCGGCAAGTGACACCACGTTTTGAATTAGTGGGTATTGGGTCTCTAGGATGCATGAGCGACTGGTGGAATTGTTGCTTCCGGCCTGTGTGCAACACCAATCCTAAGTTTACTTATCAGTACAGCGAATTCTTCGGACACACCAATAACAAGAGGTATGACGCGATAGTGCTTAGGTTTTGATTGACCCCTCGGGTTTATTTCTTTGGTGTGGCCGTGTCTCGTCGAGTGGGCCGCGACCTGAGAGTTGGCGTCCTTTCTCTGCACCGCTGCCGCGCGTTCGGCGATCGCTTCCGGAGCAGCCTTCCAATTGCTTTGCCCGCAACCGCATCAGATCCGGTAGACGACTCCAGATGTTTCTTCCCGTGGCAGAGGGTCTTTTGGTCTCATCACCCGACGCCTTGTAGTGACCTCCGGTCTCTGAGCAACTCCAGCCCCAAGTGGTGCGAGAAGACGACTAACGGCCTCGGAGACGTTCTCGATGTACGGGAACGCTCGCTAGAATTTGGGGTCGGTACGATTTTGTCGCTCGTCTCGTTTGCGCATACACCGTTGACGAAGTTGCGCGGCTGAAAAGCCGTCGAAGATATTGAAATTCGGCAACCTTGTCTTCTGGTTCACAGCAGTGCGTCTCAACACGCCGATATAGCGTCCTAACGCAATTGCGTTTGAAGCAGACTGGGCGGTTGCTGTTGAAGTTCATTATGTGCGTCGTGTTTGTCGCTTTCCTGGACACTTTGATTGCGGCCAATTCGACGAGACCCAGCCACACATTTAAGTTCGATGAGGCCGAAATTCTCGCGAGAGGGGATAATCGCGTGAGCCGTGAATTGCTTGAGTCATGGTTCACGAGACCTCGGTCTATCAACAAGTGCAACGAAATCCCCACTCCATATTCCGTGCCGAGGCATAGGCTAGTCAAAGTAATTGACCACTCGGGGAGCGCGCAAGCCGGTGAGCCAGATGGCCGAACAATCATCACGAAACAATCATGAAACATCGGCTCGCTTACGCATTTAAAAGGTCGAACTCAGTTCGCAGGCGCAGCGACAACTGGTCAGTTCACCCGATTACGTGGGGTGGGGGGGGGAGTAAACAGTCGCACAAATTTTGCTGTAACTACGACGGCCATTAAGGAAACAAAGGTCACGCCGGTCCACCAGCAGTCGGTCACGGAGGGGCAAAACTAGGCCTCAACAAACAAAATTCGTTCGTCAGGCACAGCCATAATAAGAGACAGGCGAAGTGACTAAAGAAATCAACACCAGCAGGAATCTCCACCTCATCACTTTAATTATCGAAAAGAGCAAGTCTCCGAAACGTTGGCGCAGATGTAGTCTAGTCCATGAACTCGCCTCCTCTTCTACGTGGGATAATGAACGTAATAGTATGTCTGAACTCTGAATCCTCACACAATGTTGATATGTACATCAATGTGAAGATCTTCATGCAGGAAAGGGCGCACACCAAACCATTAGCCTCCCGTGCAAATAAGTTCCAAATGCGCGGTCCAACATCACAAATAGGCAGGCCGAACTCCACCAAGTTACGAATGCAAAACGGCTGAGTCGCCGCTGCGCCAGACTAAAGTGGCGCCCCCATGGCATGGTGTTAGTCGCGTCGCGCGGACTTCGTGCGAGACCATAGCCAGTACCGCACGAGTGTGGCACACATTAGACAGAGGCCCACAGCACATCAGTCACTGAAATAACCGGACGGCTGAAAGACAGACTGAAGAGGGAGGAGGGTGGTTCAAATACTGCGGCAACTGTGAGCATATAATGCATCTGACGCGCTCTAAATTGGCAGGATGCAACAATTCGTGGCCGGTAGTGTTAAAAACGGATAGGATGACCCGGTCCTCCTTCGTAACGGAGGTCAGACTGCAAGAGCTCCATGGCTTTGTGACATTCTCGACCATTTAGAATGGGGAATCCCTCACCGACGCCTGGCACCTATCGAGTTAGCGACCAGGTTAGGTTCGGCACACATGGAAGATCTGTTTGACTTCCCCAGCCACTGTGCCCGCGTCGATCTCCGGTCATCTTGACTTTGTCTTGCCGCTGGAATATAGTTGGTGTGGAAAGAGGGCGGAATGGATGAGGCGAAAGTTTGATCCATCATAAACAAATTCCTATACACCTTGCCTGAAACAGTATAAGTCCTTATCACATGCTACCAACGAGCCATCACGCCTCAACGCCAGGAGTGAGCCAAAACTGACCTGGCATAATGCTTCCATCTATGCGTGCCCCACACGAGTGTTCGTTCGTTTCCCCAAGTAAAAATGAGTTCCCCCTCCCTGATATCCCACAGCCGGGGATTTTGGGGAGGAACTATTGATACGTCCTTTTCACTTCCGATAATGGAATTATTCTACCAGTTGGGAATCCTAGAAAGCACGACTTGTAGGCGGCCGCGGCAGCTCGGGAACGCGCCGGATTTACTGTAGTGAGAAGGGATTGAGTATAATCGACCTCACATTCTCTTCCCTCCTGTACCATGAAACAATGGCAAAACAGAGCCGAGACGGACAGGCTGTGTGTTGTCCCTGGTGTGGCATAAAGTCCTGCTTTCTTCTGTGACACAAAAATGCGTTTGGCTCCGTTTATGTCTAACATTGCCGCGACGACCGATTTAGCGCCGAGCGTTTAAAAGCCAACGGCAGCCCGCGATCGGACTGATTCGCTTCTACTAGGGGCGTCCGCGGAGGGGTCGATGGAGGACTCCTATTCATGGTATGCTCGCGATATCCAGGCAGACTAAATCCTCCTGGAGCGACCACAAAAAACAAGCGTCTGATGAGCGTCGGCTGAAATGATTATTCTACGACAATGGTGCGAAAAAGATGCGCTGTTAAAAGGCCCCAACGTCGATTGGGAATCATGCGGCATGTGATAGTCCGCTGCGAAAGCAGAAGCTGCAACTTTGACAGCACAAGTCACTCATCATGCTCCGTCTGACCACTAATGTGCGGAGAGCTGCATTTAGGACACCAACTGGATTATCATTTTGTGGGATGGCCGGTCCGGAACTCAGTCGTCCCGTTGTGCAATGGGGTTCTATCTCGAGCCCAACCAGCAGCTGCGTGTACTATAGACAGAATAACGTCACCGACAGAACAACGGGCCCGTGGCTCAGTGGGTAGGCGTGTTTGACTTCTAACCACCAGGTCGCGGGATCGAGCCCCAGGTGTTGCGCACCTCGAGGTTGGGCATGACTGGCTGACGACGGCTAATGAGTCCTAAGTGGCCATTCCAGTCTCGCTTGTCTTTGTCGGCAATGTTATTCTGCAGATAGGACAAAATTTAAGCGTGGACGCTATATTCGGAGAGACTAAATCAATTTCCTTTATATTTTGTCTTATAATCGTGAAGAAAAGTCCACGGATGGCCTTTTGATTCATTATACGCCCAATTGCGAATATGTCGGATGTAACCCCGAAAAGACTTTTGCAAACTTACCGTTCAAAACTAATACAGTATGATAATATTTTTCTCGCGGATTATTTTTTTAGCCATTTTGAAGCTGAGGGGTACGGCACTATTAATCTGGGAAGCAGTTTAGTGATTTTATGGTCGCTTTGTGGCGCATTTGTATTCAAATGTGTGGGCGTATTATTGGCCGACGGCAACTGCAAAATTCGTAAACAAAGAAAAGGGTTATTTTCGTTGGCAGTAGAAAATTGTCAGTGTCAGTCAGGAGAATGAATGAGCGGTCAGAATATTTTAACATTTTGTTTTGTAAAAAGCTACATGACGCGGCTACTCATTAGAAAAATACCCCAAGAAGGCGACTTTTAAGGAGATGACTTAATAGAGAAGGTTGTTGCTTTGACTAGGGGTCTATTCATTGCAGGTCCCGTTGCAGAACCGACAGAACCGACCCCACTCTTTCCTTCCCTTTTCGGAATCCCATAGTGCTACGGTGGTAAAACGACCTTAAGGTAACTGAAGATGAGATGAGTGACTTGGCATTCGTCTAGCTTAAGCCTGACCTGAATGAACGAAACAGTCAAAGAGCGGAGTATGCAAAAGACAAACAAAAGCGACCTGTCTGTGGTGCAAAGTCATTTCTCTGATGATCGATCTTCGTACGAAATGCTTTCAGTGACGGTGTACGTCCAGTCGTGGACCGGGCTTTCCCGGCATCTCCCTCTTCATATAGAAGGATGGTAAAGACGGTGGCCATCTAACAAGCAGGAAGAACTATCGCTAGTGTACAATGCCTCCCTGACCCTATCTCGTATCGAAATGTGTGTGTGGCCCAGACGTCCTTGTCATATCGTACGAATAATGACAAAAAACGTAGGAGAACGGCTGCAGACTTAGCAACCGCCAGGGCAACAGCAAATAAGAACTGCTGAGCTTACCGATCGGGGACTCGGGGCGAGAAACAGGAAGTTGTTGTGAAAATACAGACAACTGTGTTGGGTCCGCCATCATTGGGAGCCGGTGTTGTGGATGAAAATGGTGCGGATGAGGAACTCGACGCCAGGAAAGCTTGTGGATTTCGTATGGCCTCCTCAATGGCGGTCAGGTTGGTGACGAGCTCATCTGCTGGCAGATCGCCTCCCTTCCTAGAACCCTTAGTATCAGAACCGACGCTTCTGATTGGTTCAATGGGAACAGGGATGAGACCTGCGTGTTAGGGGGATCGCGTTAATAGTAAAAAAGACCCCTGGAAAAAAAGACGTGCTTTTCGGCTAACAGCAGTCAGAAAATTCAGAGACGGAGTATGCATCTTTTTCGCCCATCTTTCGGTTCTACGTAGCGCTATGACTACAGGAGCTCATGTGGTCATGAAAATGTATGCAGAACGCGGACACATTGCGAATTTAAATCTTAAAGAATAGAAATGTCCTGACTGAACTCTCCACATTTATCTACAACGAGTGCTGGGATGAACGTACACGAAAATGGACTATTCAGTAAGGATCTAATGTGTAGGACCACGTTCTTAGTACTATTTAATTGGCTACTCATGTGATTTAGGCAGGCATTCAAGTCGGAATCCGATTAGTCGGTCTTCAGGTTACTGTATGTGTTGCCGTTAAGCCTCTGGGGTTGGGGCTAGGACAATGGGGTTTGTGTTGGGAGGGGGAGGGAGTTAGCGGACAGGGTAAGGGTTTGGAGGGAGCTAAGGGCGTAGGCGTGTTATATAAGGGTTTTAATGCCGTCCGAACAGTTTTAGGGCTGTTGCGTGGGATGGATTTCGTCCATGGGTTTACAGCTGGGATTTGGGGTGAGACTCGGATAAGGGTTATGGTTGAGGAGTAGGATTGATTACAAAGTTTGGACTGGAATTAGTTTCAGTGCTAGAGTTAGGATTAGTTTTAGGGTTAGAGTTACGACCAGGGGTTGTGATATAAACTTGCAGTTTGGATCACCACCTACGCACTTCGGAGTTGGGATGGCTTTTTAACTGCATCCTTACAATAACCTACGCTGGGAGGGAAGTGGGGCTTATACGGCTGCGTTAGGGGTCGCTTTTTGGCCTTGGACCACGTTTGGTTATTGCTTGGCTTTCAGGTGTTGCTTTTCGAACAAAACGAGACCCGCATAATCTGGGGCATTTTGGGCTTTTCGTTATTTGCCAGTTTGCTAAAACACCGAGTTTTTAATTGCGCGTTACTTTTGTAAAGTGGACCGAAATATTTGAGCAAACTGCTACTTATCTATGGTTTTTCCCCATTTATTTTCTACATTTCCTTTTTTGTTCCTATTTTCCCCACCCAAAAAACCCATAATTGCCATTCCCGTAAAAAAGGGAGCCTTGTGTGGTGGTTTGTTGAGTGTTCCTACATATTACATCCCTACAGACTATTCAAATGCATTTCGTTCCGAAATCGTTGTCAGTACTTGCAGCCATCGTCGAACGGCAGCACTTCCACTTGTGATGGCAACGATAATGAATAGCCCAGCCGGTTTAGAGGCTTCTAGTCTCGTTATTCCCTGCAGGAGAGTTAGCAGCGAGTTCTTGGGCGATTTCCAGCAGTTACTCTGGAGACGTGAATCCTTGCAGGGTTTCGAAAAGTACAACTAGCCACGATTTCGGATGGCCCTTAAGTGATTGAAGCATTAAAAGTACAGCATAAAGGCTCCTTCAGTCGACACAAGGCAAGCTGACTTTCTAGAAGGGGGATACATTTGTTCGGCCCACATGGTGCCCTCAAGACACTAGAGCTCAAACCTACACAAGCCAATCTGTATTCGGCACCCGCCGCTCAACATTTGCGACCTCATATATACGAACTGACGTGGCTATACTGGTCTCACGAAGGACCAACGAGCTTGTTAGAGAACTGTCCGGGCTTTGGTTCGATTAAAATGAGGGTCGGCTCTCAAATGCTTCAGCAGAAAAGTAAAATACTTTCTACTTGGGAGCTGTCGGGAAGCAGCTTGCTTTCTAACGAGCAGCATCGTAAAAAACGATCGGCGCTCAAACCAGCGAACTTGGCAAAAATCGATAAACACTGTCAACGTAAACAAGGAACGCTGGAAGGATGGCATCTGGCCTGGCTGCCGACATTATCCAATGACATCCCAACTTCAAGCGCTGGTGCACTCGGAGGTTGAATCAGAATCCAGTAGATCACTGAGTCCTTAAGTCGATGTCACAACCACGTGGCGCTGCATATTGCGATCCCAGACGGCTGAGCGCGAGCGCTGTAGCTCAGGTAGTGAGTTCCCACTGGACCTCGCGGTTCGAACCGCCGGTGCGACGGCACCAGGGAGTGGGGTAGCACCGACCGATGATGGCAACTAGTTCAGAATGGTCAACTTGCCACTCACCAATCAGCCCCAAAACAAAACTGAAATGCCTATTCCCACCCTTCAATTAGGATAAACCGGTGGGCGTTCCTCTCATACGAAATTAACAATACCGTTCACGCTGATGGTGGCTCGCTACAGGTCACTGTGATTAGATGGTGTGAGTTCATTATCCCAGAGTTAACTGCCAGTTGATCTTCGAAAATCCTCAGTGTATCTGGCTGATAACGCAGTGGATAAAGGACAACCCAGAAGAAAGTTTAGCTGAAAAAAAACGAATATGACAAACAGATGAGGTTGGAGTCAAGCTATTCACAGTATGAGTAAATGGCGGTAATGGTGAAACAACAGGGAACAAACCTGCAGTGACCATGCATTTGATACAGGACTTCTGGTCAATGCGAGGCCAAATGACGTACTTGGCATCGGGTCCCCGGCGTCTTTTCAGAGCGAGTAGACAGAACGTCAGGGACATTCCAGTCGCCATCGGAACCAAAAAGCAAGCGCTTGTGCTAGGAGCACCTTAAAGGGAGAACGTGGAGCGGGGAAAAAACAATGACAGTCAGGCACACGAACACGAAGACCTTTAATCTTCCAACCACTGGGAAATGGAGAAGCAGTAGGCAGAAATAAGTGGTGAAACGTTGATGAAGATTTCCGAGATGGAATATGTTTAAGTCGACTTTTGAATAAAGAGCACTAATTTCGCCTAACAGACACCATCAAGCACCGTGTGGGAGTCAATCATTGGACCGGCGCGGCGTCCTCTAACATATACGCAGTCGGTCCGGTTGAGAGTTAATCTCATTCGACCACCAGCGTTGGTAAGATATTTGTAACGACCAATCGGCTCTGTGCAGGGAAACTGGCAGTGTTTTGCCATTTACACGCGGATTTTCCACTGCGCAGAACCCAAAGGCTAACATCGCGGACGCATCGAACATCCCCATTCTGGCAATAAAATCCCCTCACAACGACTAGATGGCACACTGAGATGAACCCAACCGTTGTCTGAAATTCGTTACAGACAGCCTCTTTCTGCACATTGTCAGCATTCAGCGTTTGGGCTAAGCTACAAAATCTTCGAAGCTGGCGATATCACCATGACGACACAAAAGTTCGGCTCTGCGCTGCCAGTGCAAAAGGAATCCCACTATCATAAAATTTCGCATATCTTTCTTTTCCTAAAGAGAATAGCGCGCAAATTTTCCGTCTAGCCCACAGGCAGAAGTCTCCACGGGCAGACTGCCGCGGATGCAGTCGTCACATGTGTCGAACGTCGTACTAAAAGGACTGGTATTTCATTAACATACATTTAGTTGATAAAAGTTGGGTCCGCTGGTCCGCAACTCGGCCTCCCGCTTTAAAAGTCCTACCGAGAGGGCAACAGGCAATCTCGTAGGCCACGCAGACAAATGCGGATCGTCTTTTTACAATGCCCCAGTCATGACCAAAAGTGAAGATCGGTTGCCGTCTGGAGTGACTAGAACGCACTGTGCATTTAAGGGTACGGCACTATATCCTCTCCCGGGAAGGTGCCCCGAAAATGCTGGTCCATCACGCCGTTAGTCAAGTGACTTTGGCTTGTGGACTGAAAATACGCGATCGGAGAGTCATACGAAAAAAGCACAATTCCCGTCCTCATCCCTGTCTCTACAGCCAATGGCATACAGGAATTTTTGCCCTCTATTAGACAATCTGATGGACAACCGTCCAGATAGGACAGGTCTGGTTGCCCAAGAACTGACACGCTACAGAATGGAAATCGCGGTTCTCAGCGAGACCTGATTCCCCGAACAAGGATGGCTGAAAGAGGTGGATGCGTGACAGACCTTCTTCGATAATGGATGTCCAAAGACCCGCGGGGGGATGCTTGAGTCACCTTGGCCACCAGGAATGACGTCGTGAAACAGCTGTCCTGTCTGAAATTCCGTCGACGACCGTCTTGTAACAATGAGGCTGCCACACCGGGAGAACAAACTCGGCGCCATCGTCAGCGCCAATGCCGCCAAAGACAAGTCCCCACAATGTGAAGGACACATTCTACAAGGACCTGCACGCCCTTCTAGCGACTGTGCCGAAGGTAGACAAATTTACTGTCAACACAAGCAAAGATGCGGGTTCCAGGAACCAGTTGATTGGAAGAAGAAGAAGATGAAGAAGAAGAAGAAGAAGAAGAAGAAGAAGAAGAAGAAGAAGAAGAAGAAGAAGAAGCGATCGCCGGAACAAGGGCTTTATTCGCCTGACGTTTCGGATTCTCACTTGAAACCATCATCTGAGACCCGTTTCTGCCACTGTCTCTGATGATAGATTCAAGTGAGAATCTGAAACGTCAGGCGAATAAAGCCCTTGTTCCAGCGATCGCTTCTTCTTCTTATCAAACTGACTGTCCTTGATGACCTCAATGGCCTCGTTGGCACAGACCGTGCTGCCTGGGGGGGGGGTGCTCGGTCGTCTCGGGGTCAGCGGCTTAGACAGCAGTGACCTCTCCCTAGAGGCTTGTACGGAACACAATGTTCTCCTACCCAACATGTTCTTCCGCCTTCCATATTGGAAAATGAGACCACGGATGCACTGCCGCTCGCCTCATTGACAACTGCTGGGCTGCGTCCTCGTCAGAAGGCGACATCAGCGTGATGTGCCAATGATGAGGGTGGTACGTGGACTGCTGGACTGGTTATAGCCTCTTCTTTCTTGAAGATGAGGCTAAAACTCCAACCTTACAGGCGGTCGTAAGGCAAAAAAACATAAGTCAAATACTATAACACTGGATACGGCTGGACGTCGGGGATTCTGGAGCGCTGAACCGAGGGCTTCACGTGCGTCCTTAACCCCCCTTCCCGGCCGAGGGAACGTCCAGACTCCCCAAAAGTGAAAACTAACGCCAACCTCGAATGTCCACTCTCCCTGTATAAGACGATCGGAGCAGTGACGCGAATGTTCTGCTAAGTCTCTGGCCACGACGGAATTTCAGCACGAGTCTACAAAAATGGTAGTGGTTAAGTAATGGACAAGTCCACTCATTATTCCCGGAGATGCGGCAACAAAGACAAATGAGGCGACATTTCAAGGACGTCTCAATTGTTCACTTTTATAAACGAAAAGAATGTTTGCCTTTAACTACAAAGAGTGAACTTCTAAATATCATTGTAAATGAGGCACTTAGGTGGACGCCTCACTAGCCACGCGTAAGTATATCCAACTGTGATTAACCACATCTGAGGGGGAGGTCAGGTTCAAGAGCACAGATCTAAGGTTTCCGTATTAAAGACTACCAGATCGAGTTAAAATACCAGATTTCCGTAGGTATAAAGAACCGATCGGTTAAAACGCCAGGAAGGACAAAAATGGCAGCTTAGGAATCCCTTGATATTTTGGTCGCAACTGTTCACACAAAGTAACTTTTACTTCAAAGATAAGCGAGAGTTTCCAACCGCAGACACTGAGCGGACAGAAATGTGCTATTTCTCTCTAGAAGACAAGTCAAAGGGGGAAACCTACCCGATCGACGGAGCCAATCGAGCAGCATGGCGTTTACCAAGCGATTTATAAGGCTGGAACCGGGAGCTTTTGGCTGAACTGCCGTGATATCTCCGGACCGTCCCACACCGTGTGCCAATCTAGGAGAAAGGTCGAAATATGATGCAATTACTACAAACTCGTCATTCAGAAACATCGAATTTTAGACAAATTAATCGGCCAGTCAAGTAAGTCGTGCATGAAACGGTTAGACTCCATCATTGCAACGGCCACATACGGTTATTCTCATTATAGCGATGGTAATAATAGATCAAATGGACGATGATTCCCAAGAACAAAGCAAAACTCGAATTACGACAGAAAACTGTGCGATCGTGAGTTAAAAAATAACCTAACTACGCCTGCAGCATTTCGATTTGGTTTTTTCGAACCAACGATTGCGCTCGAAAGCACTACACACGTTAAAGTAAGAATAGTACGAAAGTGGCATAGGGGTAGTGAACATGAAAATCATCTGAAGTTAGTAAAGACTCCATGAAATACTGAAATTCCACTGAGAACCGCTAATCGCCTGCAACAAACTAACAAAAAATATATCTAACGAGGAAATGATGTCAAAAACAGCATAGAGACCTAGCAAAAAATCTTTTAGTACAGTTTCGGGGCCTCGTCATGATGAAAATTTTTCGCATGTCACAGCAGAAACTCTACTCAGTACGGGAAACGAGGTAGGTTCTCATCATTAACGTATAAAGTGTATGGTAATTTGGCATCGGGTTTCGTGACTTCGTGTGAGACATATGCATGATATATTCCACTAAAAAAACTACCCGAAATTGTATAAGTCAGAGTACATAAGAAGCTTGCTCAGCAACTTCTTATCATGTTTCTGTAATTACATGCATACGATTTGTCGCATCAAAAAGTACTCAATTTGTGACTTTTCCTCGCAAGCGTTTCGAAAATTAAATGCTAGGGAAGATTAAAGTTGAGATTTAAAGGTGCGCTCTCGATATTGAAACAAACCGAGTTCAAAATTAGCTCGACAAATGCCGTCAAATTCGACATGTCAAAAGCACAATGGGTACGCAGGAAACAAGAAATGACTAAGCACTTACCCAAAGTGTCTGCGTCTAACAAGATTCAACACGATTCTGCCCTCGCGTTCGCCAACACCAGCAGAGTGTGTCCAATTGTTGGAGTCCATCAGTGCCAGTCGATGAAGCAGTGATTCCACCTCATCCTCGGAGAAGCCATATTCTGGCAGTCGTCCCTTGAAAGCAAAACGACAACATGGAAGTTATCGTGTATAGAATGAGAGATGAAAACCCAGGTTTCCCGCGGTCTCCCTCTTAGGCTCATCAGAAAATTGAAGAATACAAAATAAGAGGGTTGAGGAGAGGTGGGGCAGAAGGGTAGATAGGACGTCAAACGACACAACACGAGTGATGACTAAATCTAGTGAAGTCTGGTGTAGTCGACTACTACCAAAACTAATTCAAGATCAATAGCCCCAGGAGGCCAAGCGAGCTCTGAACTCCAGAACACGGTAAAATTATGTCTAAATTCTGTACTGTCAGGCGTTATCTGGCCTAGTGCATTTTATAAGTCGATTATGGCTCGAAAATATAATGTTTGGGCGCTTACAGATTTAAGAACGCTCAGAATTTTGTTTTCAAGACTTTGAGTTCTTTCTGATGCCCTTTGCGAATGCTTATCCCCAATGTACTTTGAGACATGACTAAAAAACTCGTCCATCAAACGCAGCGGTGACCGGCCGGGCCGCTACAGATACAAGCCAACTGAGCACAACGATTATAGATTGCTGCCTTCGTCATGTAAACCCACATTTCAGCCCAGTAAAACCAAACTTCGATATTTTTAACTGATCATTACCAAATTTGAACCGTTTTCAAATCCATCGCACTATACTTTTATGGAGTGCAAATAAGTATTCGATAATGTCCGGAGCATGCAATGAAGTCACAACTTTTGACCGGCTCTTCGACAGCGAATCCATCAACAGATATGATTATGCAAGCTATTACTTCACTCGCTGCCGGTTACTCCGATTTCTGCGTTTCTGGGAGATTGAATAGGGTGGAATTTAGGGCAGAAACTAACATGGAGAACAGAGTCCTCCTATAACGTTATTTCGATGATCTACTTAGGTAGGAATTACAATCAGTTAGTGATTCCGAGGCCAATACATTTGACTAGGTTTTCATAGAGCCCACTATATTAAGGTTGTCATGATTTACAAACTGTTCGCGTTTCGGAAGTTTGTATCTGTCGATAAGCGCGTTCAAAGGCATTGCCATACCTTACTGTTGGTGCCTAGGCATCAGCCTACATTAGCACGATTTTACAGCCATAGCTGAAGACCCTATCTATTGTAACGCCACGATCTGTGTAGGGTTGTTTGAATAAAGGGACACTTTTGGTTTGCGGACCACGGGTGGAGATGGCGTGACTGCCCGTCGGTAAAAACGGCAGGTGAC